TTGTGGATTATTATACCAAATGCAACGCAAACACTCCAAGTCCTGACGATTTAAAAAAACTCCAGTAATTTTTTCCAGTTTTATAATACTAGTTTTTATATACTCAGCTTGGAGCTCCTCTGGAGCTACTGCAGGCCCCAAGCCCGGATAAAGGAAGAAAGTTAGGTATGGCGTTAGCTATCACAGCCCGTAGAAAACTAACTCGCTAAAAAAAACACTAACCAATATTATTTAACATAGTAATACATTAATTTTTCGACATAACAACTTTATTATTATTTTTGGGTGGATATATTTTTGGTCTATCACAATGTATATGTGCATATAGATAACATTTTCAATAGACATTAGAAGTGCATTATGAATTATAATTCAAACTTCTTAACTAGAAGGTACTCGAATCTTAATATTGATGATTTCTCCAAGGAAGTTAAAACTAATAGCATGTTGATTCAATCTACGAAGCACTATTTATTAAACTACTGAATTATGACAGATATAACATTATTCTTTGTTAACTAACAAAAAATAGGAGGTTTATATAATTTCTAGTATCGAAAGCGAGTTGAATGTATTAGAAACTTTTGAGTATCCAAAGTGACTAATGCTTCGTCTGAATCTTAAGAGAAATAATAAATTTGGAATACAGAGAAATTTAAATGACTAGTTTCATGTAAAATAAACATGTCTTCTGAAACTTAGTTCTACTTGACATATTTAACTGAAGTGATCTGTGATCCGTCAAGGAATACAGAAAGGTATGTTCATTGCATCATATATAATCAACGATTTATTTTGTCATGTGTCGATCTAATCTTTTGTATCTTCTGTTGTGGAGATATGCCTGACAAATTTATTTTGTAAATGGTTTTTGATGTTATTTGTATTTATTTTGGCAATTTCTCACTGTATGTACATTTATCATTAAATGATTGTACGTGTTTTTTAAATGTATGACCTTGAACACACTTTCCTTCTGTTGTGTAACTTCATAGAATGACACACTGTTGACTGCTAACAAATACATTGTTGCGTACATACCTCTCGTTCTACATTCACTTGTGATTGTGTTAATCGAAGTCTAAATCAAATACTATCTATATTTATAGAGTGTAATTGGAATATATCATATCCTACATTGGATCATATCACTGGGGAGTTCATCAAACTTACTGGAATTACCAACCATCTATAATTGTGGATATTTGGTACTAGATCAAATCAGAACACGCACTAACCTGGTGAACTAAGTAACGTCCCTCATTTCTATTGTGTTTCTAACATTTAACTTATATGTATTAACATTACTATTTGTCCTTAATAACTCTGTTATTACTTTTTGAGTTCGTATATTGTCTGGTCCACCACACTGTTATTAAACTCTTGTTCTAGCTTATACTTGACTCTCTATCGAACAGTCAAATTATTGTGTATGAATACGTAACATTAATCTTTAATAAAAATTGATAGTTAAATATCATTTGATTGACTTTATTTATAGATCATTTCAAAATAAACTGACATCACATTTATATTTCCTACCAAAAACTAAATACTGCTCTTCCAGTAGAATTCTCTACGAACATTTATATTTCTACTGAAATCCTTGCACTCTAAAGTATCAATCGCTTATCTAATCTACTGCATGATAAATATTTCGTAGAAAAAATAATGTCTAGAAGTTTGATATTCTTAAGTTGTTCTTACAACATTCAGAGTGAACTTTATCATGATATCTGTTAACAAATTTCTGTTTTACTGTCGTATTAGATTGTAATTTTAAAAAATGCTTTTCATTGGTCTCTTAATGATGATGTTATTGTAAATGATAAGTGCTAACAAACAATAAATATACGACAAATATATGACAAATCAAACTAACTTCTTGGTTATTAAACGAATGATTCAACATTTTATTCACATCCAACATTGATTCTTCTTTAGCATTTTGTTTAATTTTTTCGAACTGACATTTCAGAACTTCATGTCTTCTTTCCACTTTTCTTATGTTTTCATCTATTCTTTTCAAATTTATGTTATATTGAATCATTTTGCTTGAAAGTGAATTCTTCCTGTAAATTTCCAGTGTAAATATTTAAAAAAAATAGTAAGTCTTTATTACTAACATCAGTTACTGATTGAATCTTGTTGATCGAATTTAGAATGAAAGTTCCAGATGATTTGAGAAAGCCAAAGGAAACGTCTCCATATCAACAGTAAAAATATAAAAAAACGGTGTTTTATGTCTACTAAAATTCATTAACAGAAAGTAAATATAAGGTGGATAGAAGTGATAATCTATCAAATAAACAAAACATGTAGGTTATGATTACATGATCAGTATTAAAGAAAGGACCATAATCATCCTGTGACAATCAAAGAGGGATTCACTTAACTAATATAATGTCTAAAATACTAACGTCGATAATTACCGGGCATCTAAAAAAGACTCGTGAACTGTAAACACGAGAGAACCAGACTGGCTTCAGACTTGGTCATGCCTGTGTCGGCCACACAATCACCATTCTTCAGGTTTTAGACCACAGATATGCTTATCGTGTCCGACAATGGTGGCCTTTCTTGACTTAAAAGCAGCATTTCACTCTGAAGACCACGAAGTTCTGTGGCAGTGTCTGTCATTGAAAGGCATACCTGGGAGGGCTCTTTACTCGATCACTACCACTCGAGTCAGGGCTTATGGCGAATTGTCATTTGGTTTTTCAACATCAATTGGTGTCCGACAAGGCTGTTCACTATCTTCATTTCTATTTAATTCCATAATAGACCTACTGATGGAAATAACGTTCTCGTCGTCCGAATTTTCAGGAATTGATCTCCTACATGGAGGTCTACTTATCAACTTAGAATACGCAGATGATGAAGTCCTGTTTGGTGAAGATACTGATAAAATACCGAGTCTTTTGATAGCACTGAGCAACAATGCCAGGATGTTTGACTTGCGTTTCTCCCCTCTAAATGCGAGTTGTTGCTTCAGGATTGGACTGCGTCAACACCTGAACTAAGGATAGGGAGTGAAGTAGTCGAACGCGTCGACAACTTCACTTATCTCGGAAGTACGACAAACCCTAATAGGTTGGTGTCTGATGAAATCTCAGCACAGATTCGAAAAGCTCGTTTGGCTTTTCCCAACTTACGTCACCTCTGGCGAGGGCGAGATATCCGTCTATCAATTAAGGGACGAGTATACTGCGTAGCAGCTCGTCCTGTCCTATTTTACTGCAGTGAGATGTGGACAATACGAGTGGAAGTTACTAGTGAATTACTAGTATTTGATCACACTTGTCTTAGAAATATCGCTCGCATCTGCTGGGATCACTAACTTCTAGTCTTAACCATATTGGTAGATGCAGACTACTTGTTTGGGGTCCGCGTGACTATCATAACTAATGGTTGGAGACTCTTGGTAACATGACACAGAATCAATCACCATGGAGTAGGTGTATACACTCTCTGTCTTTGTTTAAACTATGAGATTAAAATCGCTTCATATCTTTCTTTCTATAAACTAATTCTTTCTTCCTGTACTATATCCTTATATGCAATCTTTCTTTTATATATTACCAACATTGAATTAACTACTTTATGAAGCCGCTGTCCATCTTGCTGTGCTAATGAGGTGTGAAAGCTTGGACCGATATATTATTTATTTATTTACTTACATAATCACGTGAGCATGGATACAAGGAGGCACCAATCAGATACGCGCTACATAAACCATTCGGTCTGTGTGAGGGATAGGATACTTATCGGGCACCCAAACCGAAGCAGGTGGTTTTCTTAAGAGGCCACACCCCAAGCCTTTGACCTTAAGGTCTAATGCACAAGACAGTGTAGCGACGTAAGGAGATGCTCTTTCATGGTAGCGGGTGACCAATAATTTGTTCACACACCAATTGTTCCTTCAGGATACTGGAGCTCATGTGCACCATCAGTTTTAAATCGCGGTTTTACAACTCCCCTAAGTGGATTCTCCGTATCCATCAACCTGGTTAAAGCGTCAAACATTCGCCTTTCGTCTTCTCAATTTTGTAAACCACACTCTACATCGCGAGATGGCAGTGAGTAGGACGTTTCTATCAGTGGCTGTGTGCATGAAACTACGTGAGAAAATTTCGTGTAGGAGAGCTGACTCTTCTCACTCTCGGCTGTCCCAGGGCATTTAGGGATATATATGTGTCTGGTCGCACGTTGTAGCTGACTGACTGAAATATTTACACTGAATTAATAATTTCTTGTCTATCTTATTTTCAGCTGGTTTCACAAATGCTCACAGGCCTAACTGTGAGTTTTAAATTCAGCAAACATTAATGTTATACCACTGGTACGTAATCAACGTCTCACATGACATTATGGATTCATAGGTTGGATGATTGCTACAGCATTGGGAATTTGTTTGTGTACTATTAGCCATCGAGTTGTTTTCATACTGCGTTTGCAGAAGAGTAACCATTCCCTATTTTTGTAGAACACTCAAGAAGATTTCAACATCAACCTGATATAGCGAACGGAAGCGTAATAACAACTATTAAGAAATGAAAGACGCAAATCGTAAATGTACAATCGTTTGTACTTTTTAAATTCCAATAAACCATATCATTAGCCCATTACTCTTTTAACAACAACAATGCTTATCTATCATCATAGGCGAGTTCTTGTTACCGACTGTGGTTTAATTGCCTTGTTTCTTTGCGAAGTTAATTTTAAAAATATTGATAGATGCGTAGTAAATTTTGGGTAATTGTTATTAAATCAACAGGCATTTCTATACAGTTGATAATCTTGTGGTTTTTTTCCAAATACGGTATAGCAAAAAACTCAATATCGTGTAAAATGTCCCTGAAATGGGAAAAGATATTGGGATTCGATCACAGAACGTAAATGAGTTTCGCCAAAGTTGTCGAAAATATTGGAAAAAACCAATATTTTGGGGTTTTATCAATGAATATAGACATTTACCCAAAGTGTTATGAGGTTTTGAGGAAACCCCTGAAATATTGAGGAACTAACAAAATTTTGGGTTTTTTCACCATTTCCCCAAACTTCTTAATAGCGATTTCCTGAAAATAGGAAATCGGGTTCCTGTGATTCCCTAATAAAAAGCCTCAATATTTACACTAGTTAGAACGATGCTGTTATTGAATATGGTTTGAAAGTTAGAATCACTGACAAATAATCAAATCTTCCATGTTTTAAATTATAATTTAGACATGAGTTCCTCAAAAACCTAAGATCATTACGTTTGTCTTTATACTTACCCACAAGAGTCAGTATGTTGAATTAGAGCATATGTTTTCATCAGTTCCATGCGCCTTTCCCTGCTAATAAATCCTTGTAATGAACAGTATACTGAAAAAGTGTATACTTACCATTCATGGATCCGTGTTATTAAATATGAAATCTCGTCATAATAATTGGATCGAGTCATTTAATGATGCAACTAAAGAGTCGTTTGTTAGAAAATGGGAAAGTGAAATGGAAAACACAATTTGAAAAAAAGGTGGACTGTTATTGCTCATATATAGTTAACGGTAACGTAGAACCTGGCTTAAATACATAAAAGCCTAAGTTGTCAAACCTCATCAGTAAGGATGGAGAGAAAATCTTCAAGATGAAAATCACATTGATCTTCAGTTTGGAAAGGTCATGGGACTGTGAAGCCTGTAGGAGTATTGACGAAGGACAAAAAAGAATAGTAATCTCAATGAAACTCTAAAACCGAGGGATATCCCACAAATGAAGACCTCGAAACAAGAATTTAATAATAGGAAACACCTCATGTTTCAAAAAATTCAGAGAGCTGCCACACCTGAGTCAGTGCTACCCACTTTGATTGATATCACCTAACGTCATTAGCAAGTCGACGTGTGTGTTATCGACTAACTTTTAAAGCTAGAAATAATATCAAAATTTATTTGAAAATTAAGGAATATTTAGCCGTTTCCACAAGTCTACCACCGGGAGACCTGGCTTGATGTTCTTCTCGAATCACTGTAGGCATAAGTCAAAGTATTAAAGCATAGCCAGACCGATGATCAAAAGGTAGTTAGAGATGTCACTCTGTTCTTTTCACCTTTTTGATGAGAACAGGGTTAAGTGATAACTAATAATAATATATAAACATTGTGTTGAAAAGATTTAGCTTACGACCCTTCGGTGTTACTGATCAATATAAGAGTGGTTATCGACTTCTAAATGACTTTTAGGCGCCTATGAGCACATAAAAAAATACTTCACAGCATTTTTAGGATCCATTTATATTTTACCACACTATCAATTAGTTCTCTGTCCGCCTCACTGAAGAATAAAATATAACTAAGCAGTTAAGCCATTCTATAATGTTAAGAAACACGAGAGCCTTGCAAAATCATAGAAACTGGTCTACAACACAGTCGCGACCCGAGCTCCTAATTTTGGGGAAAATTTGGCATATTTTGGGGAAATTTAGGGAAAATGGCACAATGACACCAAAATTTAGACGCTAGCGAGACTGTGCAGAGCACTGTGAGAAAAATGCTCGATAAAAGAACAAGAGAAAGGCTGACCAACAAATCAATCGGCACGTAGAATTTATTTATATTTTACTATAAAAATCATCGCGAACAGTGACAACAAAACTAAAATGTCGCCAAGGTCATCATTATGGTATTGACTTCCTATTGGCAATAAACTTTAAATTCAGAAGTTTCTGAGACGGATAATACTGAGTTCAGTAAACCATCTTTTTTATCTGATTGTTCCGCTAGCTAGACATCACAATGAAAATATCATCAAAAACTTATTACATTTAAATGGTTCAAATGGTTGTGGATGGAATAGAAGAAGCTTTCGCTTAACAGGCTTCCGTGTCTAGTATCAGGGGATCACCAAATCCTCTAGGCAGGAACCTAGGTATGTTAACAATAAAAGAGGAAAAGAAATTGGTAAATCATAGTGTGATGCTGTCCTTGGTCCTTAAAAATAGATCAAGTTGCCTCTTGAAGGACTCCTGAGAAGTCGCTTGGACTAGCTCGGCTGGTAGCGAATTCCAGATTTTGACAACTCTTAAGGAGCA